CTGTTTTCTGAAACAGATTGTAACTGAACCTAACCAGGGGTAATAATTTGCAGAACTAGTCTTGTCATAAAGGAAACACACGTGAATAATCTGGAGACACTGAAGAGCTTGGCGCAAGTGATCACAAAATCCATCACCTTAACATAATTGGGAATGCAAGAATAATGATAATACAGAAAAATCCCTGATATTTTCGTTTCTGCCGATTAAAATGTCTTATGGGAACATCTGTCTAATCTTGATATGGGGTTATCTACTAAAGATTTTAAGACCGATAATCATACTTATAATATGAGGGAATCTGCTTTTATGATTGTTTTCTTAATAATGTACAACATGCCCAGAGTTTTAACATATCCCCAGAGAGAAATAAGTTCAAAAATAGACGAACCCAAATGGGATTAACAGAGCTAAAGCACTAATTTGGGGAGAAAAGGGAATTTATAGGCGCATCAGAAGAGGAGAGGTTAACCTTACTGACCAATATGTTCAGCTTAAAAGAGAAATAAAAAAGGGCGGATTAGGAAGGCTAAACGTGACAATGAAATTAAGAGTTGCTAATGAATCAAAGACTAATCCAAAGGGGTTCTTTCCAATGTATAGGACGAGGTGAAGGAAAAAGTAGACCTCTGAAATCGGGGAATGGACAGCTGACGGATAATGAACTGGAAATGCTTTCCTTATTTAATGACTATTTTTTGTCAGTTTTTACACAGGAAGATGTAAATGAATTCCAGTAATTACCAATTATTTTAGTTCCTGATGAATATAAGTTACTAATCTTACTGTCACGAGGGACAATGGTTTATTAAACAGATAGACAAACTGAAACAAATAAGTCCCCGGACCCGATGAGTTTGTTCAAGGGTACTTAAGGAATGCAAGATGGAGCTTAGTCCAGCCATTAACGAGTGAAGTCAATGCGTCCATCCTACCACGGTGTGCCCAGAGTTGTGGAAGATGGCTAATGAGGTTCCCTATTATTCCAAATCAGGGATAAGTCCACTCCTTCAAATTACCGTCCAATAAGCCTGACATCTATAGTGGCCAAGTAATAGAAATCAATTATGCTGACATTATCAGAAGTCACCTTGAAGAGCATAACTTGATAAATGAAATCTCAGCATGGATCACGAGAGGTCGTTCCGCCTGACAAACTTACTGACGTTCTTCAATAGAAACATTTGAGGCAGTTGACAGTGGATAAAGGAATAAGAAATTGTATATTTGGATTTAGTAAAGCCTTCGACAAGAGTACCACAACAAGAGACTCTTACGAAAAAAGTGGCAGCTCAGGTAATAGAGGTAACGTTCTAGCGTGGATGAGTTGCATGGATACCAATAAAAGCAGAGATTTACCATTAATGAGTGAAATCTTAATGGGATTATCACTAGTGGCGGTTTCCACAAGGATCATTTTAAGGCCTCTCTTGTTCATAATTTACATTATGACCTTGATGAAGGGATTACCTAGTGACATGAGTAAGTTGCTGATGATACAAAGATAGGAGCCGTAAAATTCCACTCTGAGGAGGATATCAATGAACTCCAGGACGATTTGAACAAATAATGTCTTGGTCCTGAAAATGGGCAGATGAAGTATTAATGTGGATAAGTGTAAGAGTACTTGCCCATGGTAATGAAAATTACCCTCGAAGCTATAATCTAGGTGAAGTAGAGCTTGGTCATACAGAATGGAAAAAGACTTGTTTGGAGTCCATGGTAAGCAAAATCTAAATGTGGAAAAGACACTTATGTACAGTTCAGGACATTAATTAAAGGAACGTTTCGCCACGAGTGGCTATCTTCAGTCCTAATACCGAGAAAATGTATGTAGTATAATTTCGCTCAGACCATAGTCCCAGGCATGGGTCCTCATTCTTGCGATGGACCCGTCTCTGGCCTCCGAGGGAGAAAGTTATACTACAATGATGCGACATACGCGATCAAGACACTCTTCTCATCAGTTCAACTGGTGCATCTCATAAGCGACAACAGCCGTATGTACTCCTAACTAAGGACAACTAGCGAGGAGGAGTATAAGTCGTTATACAAAGGTAACAGCTTGTCTGGTTCTTTGACATCCATGTTACACTAGTGTGGCCGCTCATCTCTGGTTCCTCTTCGGGAAGGACTATCACACCTAGTTCCTGCGAGCGTCTCAGTAACTTCGCATCCAAAAGATAGTCTTTTAGGGCGACTCTCACTTAGAAACAAGCACCACTCAATAGCATCAAGGCTCTCTCCATCACCAGCATCAAACCCTCTCATCAGCATCAAGACCCTCCACACAGGATCCAAGGTCCTCACACCAGCATCAAGAACCTCTCACTAGCATCAAGGCTCTCTCACAAGCATCAAGAACCGTTTCACCAGCATCAAGACCCTCCCACCAGCAACAAGACCTTTCTCACTAGCATAAACCTCTCCCTAGCATCAAGGCTCTCTCACCAGCATGAAGACCCTCTCATCAGCACATGATTCCCTCTCACCAGCATCAAGGCCCTCTCAACACAGCAACCACGACTCTCTCATCAACATCAACAAGACCCTTCACCGGCATCAGTACCTCTCACAAGCATCAAGGCCTTCTCACCAGCATCAAAACTCTCTCACCAGCATCAAGACCCTCTCACCCACATAAAGAACCTCTCACTAGCATAAAAGGCCCCTCTCACCGGCATCAAGAACCTTTTCACTAGCATCAAGACCCTTTCACCGCATCAAGGCTCTCTCACCAGCATCAAGAACCTCTCACTAGCATCAAGGCCCTTCTCACCAGCACAAGAACCTCTCACTAGCATTAAGATCCTCTCACCAGCTTAAAGGCCCTCTCACCAGCATCAAGACCCTCTCACCAGCATCAATGATCTCTCACTAGCGAAAAGGTCCTCTCGCCAGCATCAAGGCCCTCTCACCAGCATCAAGGAAATCTAAACCACATCAAAACCCTCTCACCACATCAAGACCCCTCACCAGCATCAAGGACCTCTTACCAGCATCAAGACCCTCTCACCAGCATCAAGGCACTCTCACCAGCATCGAGGCTCTCTCACCAGCATCAAGACCCTCTCACCAGCATCAAGGCAATCTAACCAGCATGAAGTCTCTCTCATTAGAATCAAGACCCTCTGACCAGCATCAAGGCTTTCTCACCAGCATCAAGGAAATCTCAGAAGCATCAAAACTTTCTCACCAGCATCAAGGCTATCTCAACAGCATCAAGACCCTCTCACTAGCATCAAGGCCCTCTCAACAGCATCAAGGCCCTCTCACAAGAATCAAGGAAATCTCACCAGCATCAATACCTTCTCACCAGCATGAAAGCCTTGAGGGGAGTCCAAATGCAATATTTGCACTATTTTAATCTAAATTCTAACACTGTTCACAGGATCTAAATTCTAACACTGTTTACAGGATCTAAATTCTAACATTGTTCACAGGATCTAAATTCTAACATTGTTCACAGGATCTAAATTCTAACATTGTTCACAGGATCTAAATTCTAACATTGTTCACAGGATCTAAATTCTAACACTGTTTACAGGATCTAAACTCTTACATTGTTGAACATTAAAATGGTATAAAATACCGACAGGTTGTTAGGTAAGACACATATGCAACAGTTAGGTATCTTTATTTCGAAACGTTTCGCCTACACAGTAGGCTTCTTCAGTCGAGTACAGAAAAGTTGATAGAAGCAGAAGATACTTGAAGACGATGTAATCAGTCCATCACCCTTGAAGTTTTGAGGTGGTCAGTCCCTCAGTCTGGAGAAGAGCATTGTTCCATAGTATGAAACAATATGGAGATGAAGTGACAGGATGGAGCTTATATAGCGCCAAGAGGTGAGACGTAGGCCACTAGGAGAGGTAAGAACTCAGATGCTGAGAGGTCAGGTCCCTCTCAAATCCAGCCGCTCTCACTAGTGGAAGTTGTCGAAGTTGATTGCAGGTCTGTACCAAGATACCCTTGTGTTGCAGTGTCTGACAGATTGAACATTAAAATGGTATAAAATACCGACAGGTTGTTAGGTAAGACACATATGCAACAGTTAGGTATCTTTATTATGAAACGTTTCGCCTACACAGTAGGCTTCTTCAGTCGAGTACAGAAAAGTTGATAGAAGCAGAAGATACTTGAAGACGATGTAATCAGTCCATCACACTGCAACACAAGGGTATCTTGGTACAGACCTGCAATCAACTTCGACAACTTCCACTAGTGAGAGCGGCTGGAATTGAGAGGGACCTGACCTTTCAACATCTGAGTTCTTACCTCTCCTAGTGGCCTACGTCTCACCTCTTGGCGCTATAAAAGCTCCATCCTGTCACTTCATCTCCATATTGTTTCATACTATGGAACAATGCTCTTCTCCAGACTGAGGGACTGACCACCTCAAAACTTTAAGGGTGATGGACTGATTACATCGTCTTCAAGTATCTTCTGCTTCTATCAACTTTTCTGTACTTGACTGAAGAAGCCTACTGTGTAGGCGAAACGTTTCGAAATAAAGATACCTAACTGTTGCATATGTGTCTTATCTAACATTGTTCACAGGATCTAAATTCTAACATTGTTCACAGGATCTAAATTCTAACATTGTTCACAGGATCTAAATTCTGACATTGTTCACAGGATCTAAATTCTAACATTATTCACATGATCTAAATTCTAACATTGTTCACAGGATCCTAAATTCAAACATTGTTCACAGGATCTAAATTCTAACATTGTTCACAGGATCTAAATTCTAACATTGTCCACAGGATCTAAATTCTAACATTGTTCACAGGATCTAAATTCTATCATTGTTCACAGGATATAAATTCTAACATTGTTCACAGGATCTAAATTCTAACATTGTTCACATGATCTAAATTCTAACATTGTTAACAGGATCTAAATTCTAGCATTGTTCACAGGATCTAAAGTTTAGACTCATCAGTTGTGAAGAATGGTTTGAAAAACCGACAAGTTGAAGATTGAGACACTTAAGCAACATATGGAAATCTTTATTCAGGAAACGTTTCGCCACACAGTGGCTTCATCAGTCCATACAAAGGAGAATCTTGAAGAACAGGAGGAGAATGAGGTAATCAGTCCCTCAACCACATCGACTCAAGGTTGAGGGACTGATTACCTCATTAATCTAACCCCACCAGTACCTTAGTATCTCTGCAGTCGTGTTATTACGAACAATGTTATGGTTTTTAATGGTGGACTTAAGAACATAAGAAAAGAGGAACACTGCAGCAGGCCTGTTGGCCCATACTAGGCAGGTCCTTTACAATTCATCCCACTAACAAAACATTTGACCAACCCTATTTTCAATGCTACCCAAGAAATAAGCTCTGATGTGAAAGTCCCACTCAAATCCAACCCCTCCCACTCATGTACTTATCCAACCTAAATTTGAAACTACCCAAAGTCCCAGCCTCAATAACCCAACTAGGTAGACTGTTCCACTCACCAACTACCCTATTTCTAAACCAATACTTTCCTGTGTCCTTTCTAAATCTAAACTTATCTAATTTAAATCCATTACTGCGGGTTCTCTCTTGGAGAGACATCCTCAAGACCTTATTAATATCCCCTTTATTAATACCTATCTTCCACTTATACACTTCGATCAGGTCTCCCCTCATTGGAAATATAAACACATATGCAGTATAATGTGATCCTTTATTGACAACGTTTCACCCACACAGTCAATAAAGGATCACATTATACTGCATATGTGTTTATGTGTAAGAAAGGTATAAAATACCGACAATATGAAAGTTAAGACACATGTGCAACATCTGGATATCTTTATTGTAGACGTTTCGCCATCCAGTGGCTTTATCAATACAGATTCTAGGACATAATAGGAAGACAGTAGAACTATATACAAAAGATGAGGTAATCAGTCCCTCGGCCTTGGAGTTAGTGTTCACAGCATCGTGGTGGAGGAGAATAATGGAATAATATTATTCCAGACAATGGAACAATGTTGATAAATTAGACACATATACAACTAAGAGGAAAAGGTATGGTGATACCGACAAGATGTGGAAAAAGACACTTATGTACAGTTCAGGACGTTTCCTTTAATAAATGTCCTGAACTGTACATAAGTGTCTTTTTCCACACATATACAACTCTTGGGAATCTTCATTGAGGAAACGTTTCGCCACACAGTGGCTTCATCAGTCCATACGAAGGAGAAACTTAAAGAACAGGAGGAGAATGAGGTAATCAGTCCCTCAACCTTGAGTCGATGTGTTCAGCCTCAATCTTGAATAGTACGGCATATAGCGGAAAGCAGTTTAAAAAACCGATGGCAGGAGGGGTAGCAGTCTAGGTCGGACACTTGTTAAATGTGGAATGGGTCGTCCCAAGAATTAGGAACGAAAAATTTCCTAAGTATTAAGACCCCAAGAAGTTGCAGTGTCTGACAGGTTTTTAGATAAGGTTCAGAGAACCGACATTTTGAAAAATTAGACACAATAAAAACCTTGGGATCCCCAAAGTTGCACATGTGTCTAATTTTATAAACAGTGGGTTTTCTCTGAACCATCATCTACAAGGGAACAATCCCTTTCTCCAACTGAGGGACTGACCACCCCAAAACTTTAAGGGTTGGACTGATTACATCGTTTTCAAGTCCTTCTGCTTCTATCAACTTTGCTGACTCGACGAAGAACCTACTGTGTGGGCGAAACTTTTCGAAATAAAGATACCTAACGTTCATATGTGCTTACCTAAAAAACCCTGTGGGTTTTTTATCCCTTTTTATTGTTCCAAGTAATCTTTTGGGCCCTTTTTGCGCAAATAAGGAAACTGCTGCCCGGGGCTTTAGATTTCTGTTTCCCAGACCCCCAAGTTTTTTTAATTTTGTTGATCAACCACTCACCAGTTATAGCTTCGAGGGTTATTTTCATTACCAAGGCAAGTCCTACACTTATCCACATTGAACTTCACTGCCATTTTTCAACCAAGACTTAATTGTCCAAATCGTCCCTGAGTTCATTGAACCCCTCAGAGTGAATTTAACGGCCTATTTTGTATCATCAGCAAAATTACTCATGTCAAACCCTAATCCCTTCATCAAGGGCATTAATTAATTTTGAACAAGGAAAGGGGCCCAAACTGATTCCCCGTGGAACGCCACTAGGACTAATCCCCCATTCAGTTTCACTCCATTATGGTAACCCGCTTTTTATTGGGAACTATGCTCAAACCCTCTAAATTTACCTCCAAAAACCCCTAGCTGCCCCTTTTCTTAAAAGTCTCTTGTGAGGTACTCTTCGAAAGGGGTTTTCTGAAATCCAAAAAACAACATCATATTCCTTACACTGTCACTGCCTCAAAAGTTCTATTGAAAAAAGTCAGTAATTTGTCACGGGAAAGACCTCTCGGAATCTAGCTGAGTTCATTTTTCAATTATGCTCTTCAAGTTGCTTCTGATAATGCAGCATAATTTTCTAATAACTTGCCCACTTAGATTCAGGGTTTTTGACGGTAATTTGAAGGATGGACTTTTCCCCCGATTTGAATAAGGGCCACATAGCCATCTTTCACAACTCTGGCACAACACTGGTAAGGATGGACGCATTGAATACACTCGTTAATGGCTGACTGTTAGGTAAGACACATATGCAACAGTTAGGTATCTTTATTTCGAAATAAAGATACCTAACTGTTGCATATGTGTCTTACCTAACAATCTGTCGGTATTTTATACCATTTTAATGTTCAATGGCTGACTAAGCTCCATCTTGCATTCCTTAAGTACCCTGGAAAACAGCTCATCGGGTCCCGGGGACTTATTTTGCTTCAGTTTGTCTATCTGTTTAATAACCATGTCCCTCGTGACAGTAATATTAGTTAACTTAAATTCATCAGGAATTAAATAATTGCTAATTACTGGAATCTCATTTACATCTTTCTGTGTAAAAACTGACAAAAAATAGTCATTAAATAAGGAACACATTTCCAGTTCATTATCCGTCAGCTGTCTATTCCCAGTTTTCAGAGGTCCTACTTTTTCCTTCACCTTCGTCCTGTACACTTGAAAGAACCCCTTTGGATTAGTCTTTGATTCATTAGCAACTCTAATTTCATAGACACGTTTAGCCTTTCTAATCCCCTTTTTTACTTCCCTTTTAAGCTGAACATATTGGTCAGTAAGGTTAACCTCTCCTCTTCTGATGCGCCTATAAATTCCCCTTTTCTCCCCTAATAGATGCTTCAGCCTCCTGTTATCCCATTTGGGATCATTATTATTAGTCCTAATTTCTCTCTGGGGGAATGTATATACTCTGGGGCACTGTGTACATTATTAAGAAAACAATCATAAAAGCAGATCCCTTCATAATCATAAGTATGATCATCGTCAATAAAATCATTAGCTAGATAACCCCAATCAATATTAGACAGGTGTTCCCTAAGTCCATTATAATCGGCAGAACGAAAATCAGGGATTTTTACTGTATTAGCATTATTCTTGCATTCCCAGTTAATGCTAAAAGTGATGGATTTGTGATCACTTGCGCCAAGCTCTTCAGTGATCTCCAGATTATTCACGAGTGTTTCCTTATTTGACAAGACTAGGTCTAGCAAATTATTACCCCTGGTAGGCTCTGTTACGCTCTGCTTCAGAAAACAGCCCTGAACTGTTTCCATAAAGTCACTGGACTCTAGATTACCTGTCAAAGAATTCCAGTCAATTTGACTAAAGTTAAAGTCTCCTACTCTGACTATGTTATTGTGTCTAGAAGCCCTAACAATTTCGTCCCAAAGAAGTCTCCCTCTATCGTGATCCAAGCCTGGAGGTCGGTATATTACACCTAGAATTAGTTTTTCTTGACCCTCTACGAACTCTACCCAAACAGATTCTGTTACTGCTCCATCTTGTTTAGAAAGACACGTAAGCAAACACTATAACATATTTATTAGAAAACGTTTCAGTCCTGGGACCTTGATCACTTCTAACATACAGAGGTGTATGTATGTATAATGTTCGCCAAGACCATAGTCCTGAAACGGGTCCCAATCTGCGATGACCCGTCCTGGGTCCCGATGGAGAAAGGTTTTTTACAATGAGCACCCTCTGCCCAAACGCCCCTCTGGCATTCAAATTGGGTTCATC